CTTTTAAATGACATAGTTGCCTGATGTAGAGGAGATTATCATACAGCGGGTTGACAAATGCTTAACATGACTATTGAAATAAGTATTTGAACAATCAACATTATTATTATTAACATTGCTCTGATAAAAATTAGTCATATCTTTATTGTAATTTTAGAAATAGGATTAAAATATACATGCATACAATCTTTACTTTATTCTTGCCCTTTTTAATTAAAAAATATATAAATAACATATAGTTTTGGGATTTAAAAAAAACTAACATGACATCTTCACACACAACAGCCACTTTACTTCCCTTAGGAAGTGATTAGGGAAAATCATTAAGGTTCTTCTTTTCTTAAGTTACTTCCCCTTAATAAAATAAACTTAATTTCAGTCAGTCAGTGGCAGTGATAGAGGAAGGTTGTGTTTTCCTTGTCTCTGTGAGTTTTGTGTCCAGTTTTCCTTGTTGCTGTTTTGTCAAGTTCTTGCAAGATGAGTTGTGGCCATTGTAAGGAGGTTATATTAGATAAATCTGAATTAATTGTTTGTTCTAATGATAAATGTAAATTAGAATATCATTACAAATGTGCTGGGTTTACCCAAGCCATATTTAAAAAACTAACAAAAGCACACAAGACAGAGTGGAATTGCGAAATATGCAAATCAGTTAAGAGGATCGGACAAAAAGCAGAGGTAAAGGAAGAGGAGGCTGAAAAATTAAAAACATTCCTAGAAGAAGTAGCTACAAAATTAAAGTGCTTGTCTGAAATTAAAGAAGATATTAAGCAAATTAAGAATAACAATGATGAAATGGTTAAAAGCCAGGAGTATTTAGGAATCCAATACGATGACATCAATAGAAAGTTAGAGGTTTTGACAGCTTTGGAGAGAGAGATTCAGCAGCTAAAGAAAATTATTCAGAAGAAAGATGAACAGATAAGTACATTGGAAGCAAGACTTAATCAACTAGAACAATATGGAAGAAACAGAAACATTGAGATCAATGAAGTTACTGAGCAAGAGAAGGAAGATGTTGAGGAAATAGTAGTGAATGTAGCAAACAAGATGGGTGTGCAGATGACGAAAGACGACATCGAGATGGCTCACCGACTTCCAAAGACTCGACGTGACAACCGACCAGCGACCATCATAGTACAGCTAGTAAGGAGGAAGAAGAGAGAGGAGTTGCTAGAAGCAAGGGATAAGGTGGTGACCAACAACCAAGTGACGGGGCTGGACGGCGGCAGGATATATGTGAGTCAAAATCTAACACTTTACTACAGGAACTTGCTCCGGGAAGCTAAGAAAAGGGGAAAAGATCTAGGTTATAAGTTTTTTTGGTACAAACATGGAGCAGTTAGGGTGCGAAAAAGTGAAAAAAGTGAAATTTTAGTGATAGATGATATGTCTCAATTAAGTAAAATAAAGTAATAAATTTGTTATTCCCTGGAAGTTAGAAATTTTAAATAATATTTGCAATTTTCATGGACAAAGATTTTATGAGCAACGAAGAGTATCAAACATCAGTTTTTAAAGATGTTAGCAGTTTAATTGATTCATGTAAAAACAAGCTTTACAAACAGGGAATAACATTTTTGCACATGAATATAAGATCAATTAGGAAAAACTGGGATGAATTTTTAGCATGTTTCTGCAACTGTTTAGAAATACTAGATGTGATTATTTTAACAGAAATTAATATTAGTGAAAACTTATTAGATGTTATAGATTTGTTTACAATTGATAATTTTGATAAGATTTTTAATTTAAGAAAATATAATAGAGGTGGAGGAATCTTAATTTTCAGCAGAAAAGACATTACATTGCATGAATTACCATCAAGCAGTAGTAATTTTGAAAGCATTGCCACTAAGGTAACAAGGCTCAATTATTCACTAAACATTCTTGCAATATACAGACAGCCATCAGGAAATGAGAAAAGCTTTATTTCTGAATTAGATGAAATGGTTAGACTAATAAATGGTAATCTATTAGTAATTGGAGATATAAATCTGGACCTGAAAGACACAAAAAATAGAAATGTACTCGAATATAAAAATGTAATGGCAGTGAACGGTTTAATGTCCTATATAAATTGTTTTACAAGAGAGGAGATAAGAGCAGGAAAACTGACACAGACATGTCTAGACCATGCTTATCTGAGAACATGGAGGACAAAGGTCAGTGCAGACATAGTACAAGTTAAGATCTCAGACCACTACAGCTGTGTGGTCAATGTCCAGCCTGACAACTCTTGCCCAGCTCACCAGCCTACCAATGTCAACAAACATATTATCAATGGAGCCTTGCTGGGACAAGTATTGGGGCAGAGGGACTGGCTGTCTGTTGAAAGTGCTACAGATGTCAATGAAATTTATGATAAAATATATCAATTATTTAAGGAATCATATAATATTTGTACTGATATAAGAAAATCTCAAAATAAGAAAAAAATTAAAAAACCGTGGATGACACATAACATAGTTGAGATGATAAAGAATAGAGATAGACTATTTAGGATACATAAAGCATATCCCCGTAATATAGGACATAAAGACAAATATAAAGAGGCTAGAAATAAGGTAAATAAAGAAATAGTGAGAGCAAAGAGAATTTACTATTATAGATTTTTTAGTGCGAATCAAAAGAATACTAAAGAAGTTTGGGGTCAGATTAATTCAATTTTAGGAAGAAATAAGAAGAAAAGCATAGATGAGGTGGTTGAAAGATATCTGGGAGGGCAAAGAACAGAAAAAGAAATTTGTAACTCTTTTGGGGAACAATTCACTGAAGGTGTATACTCAGTTGTACATGATTGCCAACAAATTACATTGAACATAAATAATTTAGATGAATGCAATGCTTCATTATATATACCAAAGCTAAACAAAGACAAACTCATACAAATTTTGGGATCAATTACTAAGAAGGGACCTGGATATGATGAAATCAGAATGATTGATATAAGAAATAATCATGAATTACTATCTAAACCAATAATTAAATTAATCAACACATCTTTAAAAACATCCAAAGTTCCTGACATGCTTAAGACAGCAGTTGTAAGGCCAGTTTACAAAGCAGGGAGGCATGATGAATTTTTGAATTACCGCCCTATATCAATACTACCGTCAATAGATAAAATAATGGAGAGACATGTTGCCAATAATCTAATAAGCCACTTGGAGGACAATGAAATCTTACATAAAAATCAGTATGCATATCAAAAGAAAAAAGGAACTAATGATCTCCTATTAGATTTTTCTGATTACGTTAATGGCCAACTTGGTGAGAGTAAACATGTGTTTGTGATCTTCATTGACTTTTCGAAGGCTTTTGATACTTTGAAGCACAGTAAAGTAGCTATGGCTTTGGATAGGGCGGGTATTAAAGGATCAATCAAGAGCTGGTTTCTTGATTACCTAAAAAACAGAACTTTTAGAGTGAGAATAAACAATACATATGGAGAGGAAAGAGAATTAAAATATGGCGTCCCCCAAGGAAGCATTTTAGGTCCTTTAATATACTTATTATATGTCAATGAATTACCAAATATAATAACAAATTGTAAAATTTTCATGTATGCCGACGATACAGTAATAGTAGCCTCAGATAAAATATTAGAAGAAGGAATAAAAAACATTCAACATAATTTCCTAAATCTAAGCAAGTGGTGTCATGATAATGGTTTATGTATTAATGGAAATAAATCTAAGATTATGCATATTCACACACCAGCATTCAGATGCACAAATCCTGAAATAAAGTTCCATTCTCATGATTGCTTGCATAGAAAAACATATGTGGCAAATATTTGTAACTGTAAAGTATTAGAAATTGTTACGAACTATAAGTATCTGGGAATAATAATTGATCACAACTTTAAATGGGATTTACATATAAAAAGTATAACTGATAAGATGAGAACATGTGCAGTTAAGTTTTATTATTTAAGAGAATTTTTACCAACCAGCACCCTGAAATTGATTTATACCAGCCTTTGTGAATCATTAATCAGGTATGGATTGAGGACTTGGGGATCAGCATCCAATACAGCCATGAAGCAACTTCAAACTGTGCAATCCAGAATCATAAAAATAGTGGCTAAGCTTGATTCTACTGTTATGTTGGATAATCCTATGCTTGGGTTTCAGTTGTTAAATGTTTTGCCAGTAGACCGGTTGTTTAAATATCTGCTTATTGTTGATAACTATTTCACAGACAATTTTAAGCAAAGAAATGAACATAAATATAGATCAAGAAGACTATTTTATATCGTACCGCGATCAACAAATAAATATTCTAAGAGAACAAGAAAATTTTTGATTCCTTCCCTCTTCAATAGCTTACAAAAAGAACATAGAGATTTACAAACATATAGAATGGTTAAATTAAAATTAAAACAATTTTATTTAGAAATAGTTTAGTCAGTATAAATTTTGTTGTATTACATATTGTTAAGAGATACATTTATTCTTGTTAAAGATGTTAATTGTTGTTTCACATAGGTATATGAAATGTTATTTAGTTGGTAATTTTAGAGTTATTTCATCTGGGTCTAAAGAGTTTTGTTTACAAAAAAAAAAAAAAATGTTATCAATTTGTAAATTGTTTAATAGTTATTTTGTCTTCGACTAAATAGAGTTTATTTATACTGCATAAATACACAAAAAAAAAAAAAAAAAAAAAATTATTCAGCTTTTTAAATTATTGTGTTTGTCAAGAATTTCAATTTTTTTAATCATATTAGGTTTTTGTTTTATTGTAAAGAGTTTTGGGACTTCAAGATGTTTGTGATAACAGGCTAGAGAGATAAGGAGGACACACACACTGACTGATGGAAGTGATAAGAGTTTGGACTTGATTCCCTTTAGTTTAATGAGCTGCAGACAAGCCATGTCAGGCTTTTGCAGCATGGTGAAAAATGATATGTAAAAATGTGTGTTTCAATTTGTTTCAAATAAATAATAAATAATAAATAATGTGAAATTGATTTAGCAAATTGCTATACATACCTTAAGAGAACCAAGCTTGATACCACTGTGAAGACAAACAAATAAATGAATATTCTTGTCTTGAAACCAGGTAGCAACCAAGGTGATTCAACTCTCTGGTGGTTTGAAGTAATCATTTTTATAGTCTGAAAATAATTATAAACATACATTAAGTTAACAGTCTTCCTGGTAATTAAAACTACAGTTGTTTCTCCATAGTTTGACACTTGTAATATGATATAGCTTACTCAGTAGCCCCTTAAAAATGGAAGTGTGAAACTTCAGTTCTTACTGGATTATGAATAAGCTCTCAGGTTCTAAAATATTCTTTCAGGGTTATAACTTACAGCCTATTAAGTAGTTTTTACCGCTTGTACTTGCTGTTTGATGTGGGCCTAATGCTAGAATACCAAGGTTATCTCATCGGGATAGACAAACTTCAATGAGCCAATGGTCGGAATATGAGCAGTATGAGCATGTTAAACAACAATAGGGCAAACTTTGAAGTGTCTAAGAGTACTTTCCCAGTGTATCATTCTTTCTGATAGTGTCAAATTGAGAAGACGCAAACCCAGCATAGGCTATTGTATTTATTTATTTAAAATTGGTCCTACCGTAACATCATTTTTCATAAGTAGCCTACATCTTAAAAAAAATATATAAAATATTCAGTATTCATTCAGATATTCACTCTCACTTATTGTGTCATACTCTGGTCCTGGCTCAGCATGATGTAGGCTAATCCACCCAACATACTGACATAAATGAAGTAAAGTAGCTATGATACTAATCTGGCTTATCGTTACTGTAATTTCATGTCTTTGAGAAAAAGGAATGCCATTGGTTGCAAACATAATCAAGAGTTGTTAGCCTCCGGATTACGTTTGAGTATTTATAATGGTTTAAGTACCAGCATTCAGTAATCCAAATTGCTGCTTGCGGCAACTATAGTTTCAGTTCTGCTAAGGAACCATCTTCAGGCCGTACAAGGTGTCTTCAGGTTATTTACGTCCACTGGTTGTCATTGATAATAAGAAAATACATATAAAACACACACGAATACAGGCATTGAAAGACAAACGTTAAACATAAATACCCCCGCCGCAGCAAACCTGCAGACTAAGCGAATTTCCATTTCACTGATTGGATTTACACTGAAATGTCTACTTAAAAATATCTATCTATATAATACGTGAAGCCGTTTTTTGTTAACGCAACTCCTCCCTTATTTGTGGACCAATTTCAACGTTTAAGGTGTCAAAAGATTTGTCTCAATATGTAGTTTTGCAATAAGGTTTTAGAATTTTGAAATTCCCACTCTTAAGGGCGTGAGACCTTCCCAAAGGTCGGGTTTTCCCCATAAGAAATACATGGAACAAATTTTAAAACAAAAAACAGCTGTTTATAAAAAGAAACTCATTAGCTTTTTGTGAGTACATATTAATGTTTGTAATATTCAGGAGGTTAAGACCAAGTAAACAGCTAATCAGTTTTGTTGGAAGAACAGAAAATACCTCATGTTCAAAGAAGAAATATTTAAAACGGGAGAATGAGACAATTAATAATAAGATATCTTATGCATATGAAGAGAGTGGAAATAGAGAGGCGGCCTGGTCTAACAGATACCTATCCAGATATACATTCACTTGGTTAAAATAGTTAACCAACTTTCAATGGTGTTGCTGCCTAGCCTATTCAAAGCAGATTAGTGCTGTCCAGTTGGTAACCCAGAGTTTGTAAGTAAAAAATGGAGCACATGAAATGGTTGATTCTGTATCACCCAACTTTTTAGGATTACCTAAGGAGAAAATTTGTTTTATTAGGAGGATGTCTCAAATCAAAGAAATAAAATGACCTAACTTAAATTACTTAACACAGGTTATCAGTAAGGCAACAGTTTTCTTCAATTCACAATGCTGGAAAAACTTTCGCATCATGTTAACTCCAATTGAAGCAGATCGTTTAGCATTCATTAGAAGTTAGTTATCAGTTAAAACTGAGAGCAGAAATAATGTAGGTGAGCCTTGACGACGCAAATATATATATTTTAAATTAGTTTCTAACAAGTGTTTAAACAACTCTAAGATTTAACTAGAATTACTCTAATTTAAGCATAACGTTAACGTTTCCTCGGGATTATGTTTCATACTATGCGGCTCATTGAGCCGCACGGGTTCTCTAGTAACATTTATTCTTGATTTAAATAGAATTAGTTTAACAAGTACTTAGGTTTGCTGCATCAGGGAGGGTAAAACTGTTTTTTTTTTTGTAAAATGTGAATAGTTAGTAAGAAATAAAAACATTTTCCAAATTTGGTCAAAATATGTTCACAAATAAGCAAACTACAACAGTTTACTTATTCTCCATAAGAATAACATGGGAATTTTAAATTTACAATTTTTTGGAGTTTTCTCCGTAACCATTAGGCGCATAATAACGCTTCAATATACTAAATTATTTGTTTTTTTATGCTCTACAAAATGGTTTGGAAAGAAATTGCTAAATTTTATGTTTTATGGGTCAAAAATGGGAAAAACCTATTTTTACCCCATAAAACCCCCCGTAAACCCCCGTTCCCATGGTCCGATCATGCTGGATCGCGAACTCGTTCGAATAAATGTACGTTTACATGTTTGTACCAAATTTCATCAAAATCGGATCATTTTTGCTTGAGTTATCGTGCTGACGGACACATCTAATATATAAAATTCTCGTGTCACAGTGTTTGTCTGCAAACTCCTCCGGAACGACTTCACCGATCGTTATGAAATTTGGTGTGTAAATTCTGTAGGTATGCGAATAGGAAGTAAACTATTTCCCGTTTCGAAATTCTTAAAAGGGCTCCGCCCCAGTGGCTCTGGAGTTTCCCATGTTAATCTTATGGGAAATGGAATTAATGAATCTTAACAGCTGTTTCAATTAAACAAGTTGGTTCCGTTCTATGATGTTCAATTGCATTAAAGTTACAAGGATTACCAACAGGGTGCAGCACTATTATTTCTTTTACATTTATGACAACAGCTAATTTGCAACCAAAAGGTGAGTGAGCGTAGCGAACGAACTTCAACCTGGAGGCGAGTGAGCGTAGCGAACGAGCTAACCTAAAGGCAAGTGAGCGCAGCGAACGAGCTCCAACCTAAAGGTGAGTGAGCGTAGCGAACGAGCTCCAACCCAAAGGTGAGTGAGCGTAGCGAACGAACTTCAACCAGGACGTGATTGAGCGATGCGAACGAGATCATCTTGAAAATTAAACGTAACGGTACTTTCTTTCCATCGGTCTGTCTTAGGGGAAACCTATAACTTAGGCGATACGAAGTTCGCGGGGTCAGCTAGTATATATATATATATATAAATATATAAATATATAAATATATATATATATATATATGAATTTGAACGGATGGTGTTTTTGGCCTCTAGGGACCTCAAAACGAAAAAAAAAATCGGTCCCGCGTCCAGGTCTTACCATGAGTACTACGGTAATAGCTTATTCCCTATATGGGAAATTCGCTAAAAACAACCGAATACTCGAGGACCCAAGAAATGTGGGATGCGACCGGGCAAAAATCGTAGTTCAAACTGGTGGTCTGTGGTCAACGTGGTATGACGTCAGCCACTGTCTCCTTATCACTGCTGGCTCACATTCCCAGCCAGCCTTTTTCATCCCCCTCCCTATCCAGTATTTTTTTTGTGGTGTTATAATAGAATTTGTATATAAAGGCTACTTACAGCACAGAAAATGTACTACTATTGTAGTATATTTTCTGTGCTTACAGTCTTTGCAATTCTGTTAATTGAGCACTACGGCCATTTCAGAGATAACTCCATCGTTGGGTGCGTAGGTAGTCATCATGTACTAAAACTGAACTATTTTTATTAGTGAATTTCCCATATAGGGAATAAGCTATTACCGTAGTACTCATAGTAAGACCTGGATGCGGGACCGATTTTTTTTTTTTTTGTTCTGAGGTCCCTAGAGGCCAAAAACGCCATCCGTTCTAATTCATATATATATATATATATATATATATATATATATTTATATATCTATATATATATATATATATATATATATATGTCCGTCAGCACGATAACTCGAGCAAAAATGATCCGATTTTGATGAAATTTGGTACAAACGTGTAAACGTACGTTTATTTGAACGAGTTCGCGATCCAGCATGATCGGACCATGGGAACGGGGGTTTACGGGGGGTTTTATGGGGTAAAAATAGGTTTTTCCCATTTTTGAACCAAAAAACATAAAATTTAGCAATTTCTTTCCAAACCATTTTGTAGAGCTTAAAAAAACAAATAATTTAGTATATTGAAGCGTTATTATGCGCCTAATGGTTACGGAGAAAATTCAAAAAAATTGTAAATTTAAAATGGAGAATAAGTAAACTGTTGTAGTTTGCTTGTTTGTGAACATATTTTGATCAAATTTGGAAAATGTTTTCATTTCTTACTAACTATTCACATTTTACAAAAAAAAAGTTTTACCCTCCCTGATGCAGCAAACCTAAGTACTTGTAAAACTAATTCTATTTAAATCAAGAATAAATGTTATATTTTTAAGTAGACATTTCAGTGTAAATCCAATCAGTCAAATGGAAATTCGCTTAGTCTGCAGGTTTGCTGCGGCGGGGGTAATTTTATATGGATTCTTCATTTTCATTTCTTCAAAGTTTAATAAATAATACATGCAACACAACACACGGACACGACACGAAAACATTAAGGCACGTAGGTACACAGCTAAAAACTGACGACCGACTCAGAAAGGTCTTGAAAACTTGGTGTAAAACTTCCATGTTACTATTTAAAATTTTATTTATAAGTAGGCTACTATATTTAAGCGAGTTCATGTGTGTTTTATATGTATTTTTTTATCATCAACGAAGACCTTCATACACAGTGGAAGTGACCTGAAGACACCTTGTACGGCCTGAAGATGGTTCCTTAGCAGTACCGAAACAATAGTTGCCACAAGCAGCAATTGTGATTAGGCTACTGAATGCAGGTTCTTAAACCATTAAATAACTAGGTAACATAAGTTACTCAGGAGGACGTGGATATTGCCTCACATTGTTAACTGAGTCAATGCTAATCAGTGTTTTTTTATATATATATATATTTTAATAATACCATACTAGTGTGTAACATGTTGCTCGAACTCGAGCAATTGCAAAGTAGTACAGGAGTTATTTCAAAACGAATAACAGTGAGTTTAAAAGAGTAAACTCAAGAATTCCGGCCGGTTTTCTCCTTCTCAAAATGCCTCGCTGTACAGGCAACACAGGTCATTGATAGAGGGCCAATAATTTAGAATGAAAAGTTGTTTTGGGGTAGTGTTAGGGCGCATTTGTAACCTAATAGTTGAGATTGTCCAGGGTCAGGTGCCGACTGTGATGAGTTAATTGCGCGCCACTGTTCTGTAGCTGCGGTCGTTATCACGATTACGCCTCCTGTCTATGTTTCGTTCGTGTTGTCGACGCGTCGGAGGCATTTAAAAGAAAAAGCAACAAATAAACAAATTATAGCTACACAAAACAACGATAAACGCACAAATTTAAGTTACAATCAAGCTAACACGATCCGTCATAGCGACACAAAACAACGATAAATACACAAATTTAAGATGCAACCATACTAACACCTTTGACTATTAATACAACAAACAATCCGTCTTGGGGGTTATGTTTACACAAACTCAAATCTTACTAATATTATAAATCTGAAAGTTTGTGAGTTTGAGTGTGTGTTTGTGTGTGTGTTGCTCAATCACGCATAAACTACTGGACGGATTGGGCTGAAATTTGGCATGATGATAGCTCACATTCCCGATTAACATTAAAGCATATTCTTATATCAAAAACCCTTTCGGGCTCCGCCCCAGTGGCTCTGTAGTTCCCATGTTATTCTTATGATTTTTCATATTTAAAAGGAATTAATGAATCTTAACAGCTGTTTCAAATAAACAAGTTGGTTCTGTTCTATGATGTTCAATAGCATAAAAGTTACAAGGATTACCAACAGGGTGCAGCACTATTATTTTTTTTTTAGTTTATGACAACAGCTAATTTCCAACCAAAAAGTGAGTGAGCGTAGCGAACGAACTTCAACCTGGAGGCGAGTTAGCGTAGCGAACGAGCTAACCTGAAGGCAAGTGAGCCCAGCGAACGAGCTCCAACCCAAAGGTGAGTGAGCGTAGCGAACGAACTTCAACCAGGACGTGAATGAGCCATGCGAATACTTATGAAGTTAAACGGGGCAAAGCCCGCGGGTACATCTAGTAGTAAATAAATATGTACTCAATGCGTTTCATTCAATTGAAAAATAAATAACAGCAATTAAATTATACAGCTGATCAAAATGTAAACAATTATGTTCTCCATAAGGATAACATGGGAACTTTCAAAGCCACTGGGGCAGAGCCCAAGGGACGCTTCCAAAAATTAAGGCCAGTTTGCAAATCTAAGTGACACGCTCTTTCCAATGAGACGTCAATGGATAAAATCGGACTGGTGGTACGGTACTAGATAGGTTAACCTAAATCAACATCTTCCGATGTGCGACTGATTTTTAATAAAGAAGGAAATTGTGTCCATTTAGGTCTAGTCTAAAATTGATATTTACTTAACAAACAGCCAAGAACAGACTTGACATCTTTCACCGATCCAGTAAGGTGATCAAACTTATTATGTTATTACTTATTACCTGTTCTTCATCTTTTACCCCATGGGGGATTGATGGCGTCATTATAAACATAAAATTACTTTTTTACACTTAGAACATAGCCTACAATTAACATATAATTAAAACTGAGGCTGTGTACATGCATATTTCAGCCTAGGCCTAATAGAGGGTCTTCAAAGTACTCCTTCAGCAAGCAGTAGACCTAGGCTTTGTTTTTTAGATACACTGTAAGCATCTTAAGGAGTTTCCTTTTGTCAAGGTGCAGGATGGAGTTTGGCAACTTATTATTAAGTATATTTTTATGGCTCCATTACTGAAGGCCTTCTGAGTCCTTGACAGCCTAACTCTAGGGACATCTAGGTTTCAGGTACGATGCCTAGTAAGATGTTGATGTGTTGCTGCTCTTGAAAGAAACTCCTCAATATTGTCTAACGCGTATTTTATGCAAGCGAGGATATAGTGACTATACACTGTAAGACTGCCCACCCCGGCAAATATAGGCTTGCAGTGAGCCCAACGATGGCTGAAGGTGATTATTCTCAGAGCTCTCTTTTACAGGATCAATATTTTTTGGTCATGGGTGCAAGTCCCCACAACAAAATACCATAGGCTCACATGGCAATGAAACATTGTGTGATACACAATCAACAGATATTTCTCTGTGACCAGATGTCTTAGTTTCAGAAGCAGGAAGCATACCCTAGATATTTTACTGCAAACTTGGTCCATATCCACTCCAGGTTAGTTTTTGGTCTAGTGTGAATCCTAACAACTTCACCGGGTCATTCGGAGGAGCACGTTTGGCTAGACTGCAGACGATGGACTGTGTTTTGGTTTGGTTCAGCTGGAAGCCATTTGCCTCAAACCAGTTTGAAGCTCCTAGTAAGTGTTGCTCTGCTCCCGCTACAGACTGATCAACATGCAGTCCTCGTGACACAATGGTGGTATCGTCAGCAAACAATACAACATTTCCAGTCTTGTCAAGGTCATTTATCATGACTAACTTTAGGAAGAGAATTACAGCCCAACAGATCCTTGCAGGACTCCATAACCTACCTCTAGAGGTGCCGAAATCACCCCCTCAATGGAGACCACCTGCTGCCTACACGAAAGATAAGATTCAATAGTCTTGAGGACAGTGCCACCTACTCCATGACTCTCCAGCATCCTCACCGGTGGAGTATGGTTGACACAATCGAATGCACGACTTAGATCGCACAATGTGAGGGGGGTCTGTGTAACAAGCTTCAAATGCCTCGCCAACCAAACCTGCAAGCCTCATTACCGCCCCCTGTTGTGGATCGGCCCTTACCAAATCAAAATTCCATCTGTCAGCAAGTTATTTGACTCCAGGTGTTCACAGAGCTGCTTAGTCATCAGGGCCACCAAGACTTTACCGAAGATTGGTAAGATAGAAATGGGCCTATAGGGGTAACTTAACGTCAGGAAAAGTTTTTCTGATATGCCTAACAAAGCTATTACTACCAAGTTAAGCCCAGGCCTCTTCCTTTTCATCAATCAATCTGTGGTAAAAGATAGGTTGCATCAAAATTAAAAAAGAAGGCCCAATATGTTAACTAATTCTTGTAAATAGTCTAACTTATAGGCTTAACTGAACTGAATTGCTATGATAAAAGTCAATCAATGTCATTGGCATTGTGATAAGTTTTCAATATTTTAATATAACTTACCTGTTTAACACGAATGTGGGGAATACCTGTGTAGAATAATGCCAGCAAATATAAATTACATAAGCTACTACGTTTTAATTTTTTATTGGTAAATAGCACATTACAAAAAATGTCAACAATAACTTCTTTGACACATCTAAAAGAAAACAAAATTGAAACTGAGTAACTTAACTGACGACGACAAACACAATCACAGACCACTTCACTTTCACTACGAATGTATAGCACAGCCACAGCAACATTGCTAAATCAGCTGTAAATGATTACATATGGTTTCAGTTACCAAACAAGTTAAAAGAAACTGCATTTACTTGGACCGTAGATTAAGGTCAATTAATTGTAACTTAAACATCCGGCCGTGGTTTCATTGGTATCACTAAATTTTGCATTTCTCAGTGCTTTTCAGGTAATGACAAAATCTATTGCATAACTTATTTGCATAAAGATAAACAATAATGTCTAGTGTCTTAAGAGTAGATTCAATTTCTTAAAAAGAATTATATTAAACCAAATCTTTGTTCACCGAAATCTTAGTTTCACCTCGAGCTCTAATCAAGCCGTATAAACGATAACTCTGTAAAAATTGAGAGTAACATCATGGATTAAACATACTGTCTATGGTAATATAAAATGTAAATTTTCCCGAAAAGCATCCATTGTTGACCCAACATTGGGAAATGGTCCGCACGGTTGGAAAATGGTAGTGGGAAATTTTAACGCCTTGCCAACAATGGTCCAACGGGAACTTGTATTCGTTGGCCCTACCCTACAAGGGAAAGATTCGTCGGAACTTCTTTAATATAACACATTCTAAAACACATTTCAACAAATTGGTTTATTTAATTAGAAAATAAATGCTATCGCAGGAAAATATAAGATGGTTTTGGAAAAAATTGGATCTATAATAAATGTAGTATATAAATATATATATATTTTTATTTTTATACATATATTTTTTTATTACATATTTGTTTAAATTAATTTATTCTTTAACTTACTGTTGAGCAATTTTTTTAATAGTTGAACAATTTAAGGGGAAAGATTAATTAATCATAATTCATAATACCAGTGTCAGTGTCCTCTCCAACTCCCCGAAAAACTATTTAACTACCTACTTGATGCATAAACAGAATCATAGTATAAAAAATATTTTTATTGCGACCATTGCAATTATGTTGGCTGCTCTTTTAGCAGCTTGAAAACAGGTACTGTAATATCAACGATCACTGATAGCTCAGAGGTAAGATAAAAGGCTCATAATAAAAGAAACTTGGAGTACCAGGTTCGAGATCCATCCGGATTCGCACAAAATATTTGTTACCGGTATGGGTTTTTCAAAATTTGTTTTTATGAACAATTTAAATTATATACTCAACTGATAAATATGCTTTTCATACTAAATTATTCAAATTTACAATGGGATGAGAAGTCTACTTGGTGTTGGTTAGTCTTGGCAACGTCATAACGTCGCAAGTAGGGTTGTCAGTTGTCCCATAAGATAGCATGGCAGACTGGTGACATCTGCTCATTAATTTGCACTTGATTGATTTATATATTTAAACTAGCTGACCCGGCGAACTTCGTATCGCCTAAGTTATAGGTTTCCCCTAAGACAGACCGATGGAAAGAAAGTACCGTTACGTTTAATTTTCAAGATGATCTCGTTCGCATCGCTCAATCACGTCCTGGTTGAAGTTCGTTCGCTACGCTCACTCACCTTTGGGTTGGAGCTCGTTCGCTGCGCTCACTTGCCTTCAGGTTAGCTTGTTCGCTACGCTAACTCGCCTCCAGGTTGAAGTTCGTTCGCTACGCTCACTCACCTTTTGGTTGCAAATTAGCTGTTGTCATAAATGTAAAAGAAATAATAGTGCTGCACCCTGTTGGTAATCCTTGTAACTTTAATGCTATTGAACATCATAGAACAGAACCAACTTGTTTAATTGAAACAGCTGTTAAGATTCATTAATTCCATTTCTCATAAGGTTAACATGGGAAGCTCCAGAGCCACTGGGGCGGAGCCCTTTTAAGAATTTCGAAACGGGAAATAGTTTACGTCCGATTCGCATACCTACAGAATTTACACACCAAATTTCATAACGATCGGTGAAGTCGTTCCGGAGGAGTTTGCAGACAAACAGGTTAGGATTCACTTACTCTACGAATCATTGACACAATGAGCCTCCAAATATGTAATTCCCTACTTTTGTGACGTTGCCACTTCACTTCGAACTCGAAGGCCGCGGCCACAATTAATTATAGCTCAGTGGGCCAGAGTTAAAGCACATTCGTGGTCTTTGGTCTTGTCTTTGTTCTCGTTCTCGATCTCGATTCTCGATCACATTTACGACGTACGTTATCGTTGGTGATGGTGTGGTTCTCGTAGGTTAGGTTTCGCTGTGTGTTGACTTGACTTGACTTGAGTTTAAAAATTAAAACTAACCTCTTTTCGGTGACTTGACGACACCATAGCACATAAGTCTTGTTACGTTTGTTTTACCTTAGTGTTATTAATGATAGTTTAAAACTAAAATACCTTGAGGTGCATGTGATATTTTTAAGGTAGGCCTAGACAATTCTTAAATCATGGAAGAAGTTCACTTAACCACAATCAAACCCAAAAACAACGTTTTATTGTTGGCTCAAGAAATTTCTTTTGCTAAAGTTTTAGCCTGTAATGATAAACGCTTGAGGGATCGAGGTGTGAGAAGACTGAAAAAATGGTTTATGGCACGTTCTCAAGGTTCCATGGGTAAGTGGTCCCTATGGCAAATTTTTTAGCAATTTATCAACTTAGGCCTAGCCTACATTACTTAAAACGGGTACAGTTTCTTAACTGGGCTACGCTAATATTGATTGAAACTATCCATTCTATTAGTAAACCTTGATGTGATTTTTTCACCATCAGCAAGTTTGGTTGGTTATGTTAGGTTATGATACTTAGTTTTATTTTATAATAGATTTTAAAATATCGATTAGGGGCCTACCCCTACCTATTAACCCTCCCAGTGTTACTTGACGAAAATTCGACAAGCAGCACACTTTGTGTAGTGTTACTTGTCGATTTTTCGACAAGCAGACATCGTTTACGGCGAAGGCTCTATAACTGACTGAATCGGATTGAACTGGATCGAGTTAGGTATCGTTCTTTCCGTTTCATTCTAAGCTTTCTCCAGAGGTCTGTCTCAGCGCTGTACGTTAGAATCCTGAGCCGATCGTAATATGTAGCAGACAGCTGACGTGCGTGTATTTGTAAACAGCTAGGTTACCCTCCGACCGATGACTGATGTGTTTTATTACGTTTATCATTGTTTTAGTGTTAAAAATCAAAAGTAGTGATATACGTGTTGCATTATAAGAAGATTTAAGTGGTTTTGAAGTGCTGGTTGATGATCCTGAAGAAGTAGGTAGTGATATTGATGTAAATTATCAGCCAGATTCCTAGCTATGGTTAGGCTATGCTTTCTTAGCTAAACGCTATGTACTGAAATCTGTTTTTTGCCCATAACTTATTTATTTGCAAATCTACTTCCTTATATTGTTATATATTTGTAATCCTCATAAAATTTAGAACAAAGTGGCTATTTTCAAATATTTATAGGCCTATAATTTATACAATTTCATTGAGCGCGAACTTATTTTTTTTTTGACAATTTTCGAAATTATATTTTTTTTTACCTAAAGATTTTTTTTTTGAAAAAATGTTCCTTATGTTTTATATATAATATTGAAGCCCATGATTTTCCAAACAAAATGGTATATAGAACATTAGAATTAACATTGTTTTAAGCTTCTCAGATCCGTTTTAATAAAACCTTGCAAATGCGCCAAAAATAGGTGGACATTAAGGCCTAAACTATGGACACTTGGAGGGTTATTCAATATTTTCAATTCAATAGTTTCAATTGATATTAGCGTAGCCCAGTTAAGAAACTGTAAGTTACCCCTTAAAACATAACTCAAATGAGTTCTAAGACCTTCGACTATTCCGCAAAGTATTGCTGTAAAATGGGCCTACATTTGACTGTTTTATTGTACCCTAGGCGTAAGTTAGGCATCTAGGCCTTACTGGAAGTTATGCTGAAGACCTGAAAACAAGTGGGCTAGGTATGTTGTAGCCCATGTCGCTTTGTTTTGCTGTACAAAAGAAAGTATGCAATTGATTTAAATGTTAAGGTAACAAGGAAATATATACCTACCTCGTTCCTTGTCAGCTCTGTAAAATGTGGGCTACAGTAACTTATTCTTGACCCAGGTACATAGATTAAACTTCCAAGGTCCATAGGCCTACACCATACACAGCTAACCATACACCAAGACAGGTAGGCCTGGATTCCAATTGTTATTTTATACTACTAAGTAAATTGTATCACGTTAAAGGTTTTCATTCGATTTTCAGACTTTACCAAGGATGATTTTATGCGAATTTGGAAAGGACTATTCTATTGTATGTGGATGTCTGACAAACCTCTGGTTCAAGTAAGTAACTTAAATCATTTTATAATATTTAGCACTATGCCCACTTGTTTTATTTAAAATTAAAGTTATAAAGCCAAGATTCCGTTTAACAAATTTTCAGTTACATTTCACGGTACCTAACTTAAATCTGCCTGGAACAAATGCCATAGCAGTCAAAAAGAACATGTGTAGGTAACCAGAACTTTTTTGTGAAAAAAAGCTCAAGAAACTTGTCTCCAATGCCACATCCTGAATTGTCAAGCAGGGAAATTTAAATTGAAACTCATCTTTAGTCTATGACATAGCCTAGTTTTGATTTTGATTTGAACAACATTTATTAAGCCCTATATACTTAACAATAGTACTTTTCAAATATTTCAGCAGGAACACCTAAGTTATTTTTATCAATAAGCCAATAATAAAACCAATTTTTGAATGATTCTTCATGTAATTCTTCATGTGTGACAAACTTAGATTATAAATAACGAGGTTCTAAATGCTGTGCTTAAAAAGAGAGGATGTAGGTGAGAAGTGTCTAGATTAGATCTTCACCCTCAGTTTTCAGCGTAGCCAAATGCACTCAGTCCAGTAAATATCAATATGTTGTTGGGCTGTTCTTCTTTGTCTTTTATTTCTCTGCCTTATCAAGCCTAACCTAGCATACTCTAATCTCGGCATTGTTTGAAGGGACAGTAGACAAGAGGAACTTGTGGGCTCATTGTTTATCTGGTATGACAGATAAAAAA